CCCCAAAACCCCAAAACCCCTCATTAAAACATTTAATTTTAATGTTGAGATTTCTTATATTATGATATTTACTCTTTAACTGATAATTTCAAAAGCATTTTCTTTTAATTACAACTATCATTCTGGTTTACAAGACCCTAGAATTTTTCATCTCCTGCTTTTGTTTTATTAATTTCCTCTTTGCTGCAATCTACTTTTAACTTCTTTCTCTTTATCTTCAAGATGCTACAGTGAATCTCTAAGTTCTCTCTTTTTCCTAAGTAGTTCCTGTTTCTCTGCCATAAGTGAATCAATTTCATTGCTTGACTCTTCAACCTAATTCAGAATCCAGTATCTCTCTTTCACATATTTCTGAAGTTTTTCCTTCTCTTTGGCTAAAGTATTCTATCTGTCCTGGTACTTCTTTTCTTCTAACTCCAAAGTGTTTGCCATAATGCTGCCCTTTTTCTCAAATTAAAGTAGCTGCTCCTTCTTTTATTTTACATTTTACTCCTCATGATCAGCTTTTTCTTTATACATCTTCACTTCTTATTGCTGTAATTATTCAAGAAGTTTAATATATTACTAATAGTTCTAGATTTTCTGAAGATATTTGTAGTTTCTTTTATTCAATAGATTTCTTCAAATCCTAAAGCTCTTTCTCTTTAACTATGCGTCTTGACCTCAATCTTGTAGTAATATCCTAGAGCTAGGGTCCTAACTCCTCGGGTTTATCTTGCCTCGCTGCATTGTTAACATCATCATTTGTGACTATAAATGGCTAGTCATTTTCTTTTTGTCTGAGATTGTTTTAATCGGTCTATAGTTTAAATCATCATATAAGAATACCTTTTGCTGTAGCTATCTAATAAATAAATTTCTCAGATCATTTTCACTTTGATGCTTCTGTGTCTATTCTTTTTATATTTATATACTGACTAGATAAACTATTTAAATAAATGATGAGCTTACATTCTTCTATAATTTATCTCTAAGTATTCAACTCGGTGTCCTGCTTCAAATACTACTTGTGTTTTTCTGAACTTTCTATCAGCTATAAATTCAAATAAAAAGGATTTTATATACTTCTTCTAAGTACTATTCATATAGTAGCAATAACTTTTTCTCAGTCGGTATTTACTCATCTTATAGATCATAGCTTAAAATATTAAGTCTAGTCAACTCAGGCATCAGATCATTTCTCATGTTCTCAAACTGATCATAGCTATCCTAAACTCTGCAATTAAAACCAAGTAAAAACCTCACATCATCATCATCGTCATCATTATCAATAGAAATAGGAATTCTATCTCTAGTCACTAAGTAGCTTTCTTGCAATCTATATAGGTCTTTGTTCATTTTTCAGATTTAATTATAATTTCCATTTACAAAAGATTTATAAGCTAGGGGTTTTGGGGTTTTGGGGTTTTGGGG